ATTTCAGCTCCACTACACCTCATCGACTGGAGCCACACATCTGAATAACAGGATCAATCAACCAGCCGGACAATCCTTCTGTGAGTCCGTTACTTGTACCGTTTATTTCATTATTATTCGTATATGTAGTATCTCTTCCACCACAGTGGGATTAATAATAATAATAATAATAATGGGTGTATATTTCACGACGCCCGTGAGACATGCACAAGGCATGATCAAATGTTCAGAGCGAGTATATGTACAATTACAGTGTAAGNAGTGTAAGTAGATAGGTAGACAATAAAAATGGTGGGGATCAGAACGAAAACACATTGTGAAAGGAACACAAACCGGACAAGATCACCGACGAATTTATGGAAGATGGAGGATGCATTGAAAATGCATGTCACTAGAAGGCAACAGTGCGGGGAAATACGAAGAGGCGGTTTGTGGAACAAATGCTGCCTGGTGGTGGAGGCACGAGGACAAGAATAGAAAGGAAGGAATGCAGCCAGAATAATACGTCGGTAAAAGAACATGTTTCACTCTATGCTGCAATACAACTCGCTTCTGGAGACAAGTTCATTGGGTTCGGGGCTTCAATCGATCAAGTAATGACTTGGATTATTTAGAATAATTAGGCGTTGGTCGCTTTGATGTGGGGCTGACTACACGCTAGACACCTAACTTTAAAACACCATGTAGGTGAGGCAGGGGGTGTGATTCTCAAATTGGTCCGGAACGCGGACGCATGTAGTCAAAACGGTGGAAACAGCCGTGCCCAACAACCATTGCCGGAGCCAAATTACCAAACGATCGTCGAGACACATTATACCATCCAATTGCACTGGCAACTCCTCTCGGTGAGTAAAGAGTTGAGAATACTTCCTCTTTACTTCTGGTGACCACCGTTTCTTGGTCACTGAGCAAATGGACGAGTATTACTACTATGTAGATTTGCTTAAAGATTCCAGAAACACTGGTGATGCTTGGGTGATTAAGTGAAACCGTTCTATCTCTGAAAATCGTGGATAGCGAGGGAGGAAATTAGCCTGTGGAATTGTCTCTCCTGGACCTTGGCGTTACGTTCGAAATGGTTGCGTGAATCTTGCTCTCTGAATAAATCGTGAGTTTTGAAGGTTTTAATGTGTGAAACCAACTGTACTGTGGTTTCAATTTGGTTTTTTACTCCAATAAGTCTGATTTTACCGTTTTCGCATTGATTTTCGGTGTATCCTGTTTTTTAAAAGGTTTTAGCCGTTTCGGAATTTTTTGGTACCCGAAATTTGATTTTGTTTAAACTTAGCTCGTGTTTCAGGTATTTTTTGTCCATTTGCTCTCGCTGTAAACCTTGCTATCCATAGTAACATGCCTAGAGCTGCCTTCTTCTGCTTGAGTGAGCAAGTGGAAAGCGGGTAGTTAATGGCATCGAATGTGAGGTTTGTGAGAAATGAGCACACGCAAATTGCTGTGGGATAACACCACAGAGATATGCCGTGAACTGCAAAGATCCAGAGTTGCAGTGGGTCTGTAAATCACGACTATACATAGCTAAAAGAGCACTGCTAGAGACCGTTGCCAACGGGATACCTCAAGAGAAACTATCGGTTATCAGCCTAACCAAAGAGAGCAAGAGAACGAATCCGCCGAAAACATACGCGGATGCTGTTACAGCCAATACTGNCTGACCCCACCATCCGGGGATGCAAGGGGAGTAGCAAAGCTAAGACAGCAGCCGTTTCTACTGTACTGCGTGTGGTCAGGGCGCCTCTTGCCAAAAACTTAAAAGTTGAAGCTACTGGCAAAGGCTCGAGTAAACCCAATGGGGTCACGAAAAACATCCTATATTAACTAGAAGATCAAATAAAGATCAGTGAGCAACTTAGGTCACTGAAAGCAACAGATGGAGGCCAAACTGTTGTCCATAAGACACTTTGAATCCTCAACAATGAAAAGCCGCTAGTAGAGGAGACGAAAGCTCGTCGGGACATGGACAGACGCAGGGTGCTAGATATCCTAAGGGTAGCTGGCATGGAACGATGTAAACTCAAGAGGGTTCACAGAGTTGGCGTATGGCGGGGGACAAAAATGGCCAACCCCGAGCGGCTAGACCACTTCTAGAGGAATTTGCCGACCAAGCCGGTAGAAATCTACTACTGGCAAACTCTGGGAGAATATTCAAAGTAACACGGGTAGGTACAAATTAACCCCGGGTGTGCCCAGGGGGCCTAGAAGGTAGAGTGTTGTTGGAGCACTCAGGTTGCACAGTCACTTGCCGAGTCAAGTCTAGGTGACTGGAGGAAACCGATCCTTGAAGACCGATGGAAATAAGG